TTGATGTATCAATTGGTCCAAATAAATCCATACGAATCAATTACAATGGTCTAGAGGTGCTCATTTGATTCTTTGGCTTTAAACTACCTTTTATTTATTTTCCTAGTTGACATGCATTACACACATTATCTTTAATGAACTTAATATTAGGAATATCTCTTACAAGTTCTTTAGATGAGATTTGAAAGATTAGTTTCATGCTAACATGACCTAATCTCTTATGCCAAAGCCAAGTATCGTCATTCAAAATCGAAAAATATATTTCATTACAAAGATCATCAATGTCGATAGTGTATACATTATTTTATTTTAGGGCAATCATAGATATATTTTTGTGTGGTTTTTCAATAATGCAAGCATTGGATTCAAATCTAATGATATATCGTTTATCACACAATTGACTAATGCTCAAAAGATTATGCTTTAAGCTATCGACCAGCAATATATCTTCAATCAAAAAGTTGGATTTATTACCTATGGTTCCTTTGCCAATAATTTTACCCTTGTTGTTGTCTCCGAAGATGACATACCTTTCATCTATGCTAGTGAGCTTAGAGAATTGAGATGGATCTCCGATCATGTGCCTTGAGCATCCGCTATAAAGGTACCATCTCTTGCACCTAGCTTGTGATGGTAAATATTTCTACAAAAAAGCATGATTTTTAGGTACTCATTTGACCTTGGGTGCCTTAAAAATCGATCGACTTAACTTGTCATTTTGCATAGAGTTTTTTACAGTTCATTTAGGAACCCAAATCAATTTATGTGGGCTACATCTCTAAAATGGACATTTATAAGCAATATGTTCGAGTTTGCAATAAAAGTTATATTTGGTGCAGGGTGATACATGTAAGTTAGGGCCTTTAACAAAAGTGGTTAGATTTTGGTGAGAGCTACTCACAAATCTGATTCTGCCTCTTCTATGAACGTAACCCTTATTGGCAAGGATCATGTTTAAGGACTTGCTACTAACTTCAAATTTTTCTAAGGTTTCAGGTAGTTATAAATTTTCCTTTTTAAGCGTTTCTAATTCATCAAATTTTGTGCAAGGAGTTAAACTATCATCATATTCAATTTTTAATCTATCAAAATCATTAACAAGAGAAGTATACTCCTTTTTTAATAGTTTATACTTTTTACTAACTAATTTACATTCATCAAATAATTCATAAAAGGCACTTAAAAGCTCATTGAAAGATAAATTTGCATCTAATGAACTACTTACCTCATCTCTGATAGCCATCAGTGTGTAGTGAGCAACTTGCTCTTTGTTGGTTGGCTCCTCTTCTTCGGATGCACTTGAGTTGTCCTAAGTTGCTTTAAGCGCTTTCTTTTTCTTTGGTTGCTTCTTCTTTGCTTGGGGGCATTCACTTTTGAAATGTCCCGGCTTCTTGCATTCGTAGCATATAACCTTGGGTTCTTTCTTGAGTTCAATTTTATTTTTTATGTAATTTTTAAATTTATTCCTTTTTATGAATTCTTTTGAACCTTTTTGTCAAGAGTGCCAAGTCATTATCATAGTCCTTATCACTTGAACTTTCTTTCAAGTTGTCTTCATGAGTTTTTAGTGTCATATCCTTCCTATTCTTTGAAACGTTATTCTCAAGCTCTTCATGAGCGTTGCAAGTCATCACATAGGTCATTAGTGGCCCAATAAGTTCTTCGAGGGGGAAGTTATTTAAATCCTTAGCCTCTTGAATGATCGTTACTTTAGGATCCTAACACCTTGGAAGGGATCTCAAGATTTTATTAATAAGTTCAAAATTCGAAAAATATTTGCCAAGAGCTTTTAAACTATTGACGACATCCGTAAAACGGGTGTACATGTCAACAATAGTTTTTCTTTGCTTTTTCTGAAACAACTCATAAGTATGAACTAAAAGATTTATCTTCGACTCCTTTACTCTACTAGTGCCTTCGTAAGTGATTTCGAGTGTGTGCCAAATATCAAAAGTCATTTCACAAATAGACACTCGATTGAACTCGTTTTTATCTAAAGCGCAAAATAAGACATTCATAGCCTTGGCATTTAAAGTGAAAGTCTTTTTCTCCAACTCATTCCAATCGTTCATTGGAAGAAAAGACTTTTGAAAGCCATTTTCCACAATATTCCATAACTCAAAATCCATATAAATTAGAAAAATCCTCATTTTAGTCTTCCAATAGGTGTAATCCGTCCCATTGAATATGGGTGGACATGTAATTGAATGACCCTCTTGGTTACCGGCAAATGTCATCTCTCTCGGGTTTCAAACCAAATGAGAGTGACCTTACTCTGATACCAATTGTTAGAATCAAGAGCAACACTAGGGGGCGGGGGTGTGGGTGAATTAGTATAGTGGAAAAATCATCAATTTTATAAAATATTCATTCATTGAAAACCAATTTCAGAAAGTGCTTGACTTTAGAGTAAATGAACTAGCAGTTAACTTATAAACTAATAGTAGAGGTGAAAAGCAGAATGGAAATGAGCACACTAGAATTTATAGTGGTTTGGTCGTTGTGACCTACATCCACTTATGATTCCTCCTCCATCAAGGTCACCGGCGTCCACTAATAGTCTTCTTTCAATGGGCGAAGACCAATCACCCTCTTTACAGTGCTTTCTCCTTTTCACAGGTTTAGGAGATAATCCTTACAAGGCTCATAACTCTCTTGAATGATCACAACACTAGAAAGGGAGGAGGACTTTTAACACTTTTACAACACTTTTAACACCCTAAGACTTCAAAATATTTTTCACACTTTCGTTTCCTTTCGTGCAGAAAAGGGTGGGGTATTTATAGGCCCCAATAGCTTCAAAAATAGAGTAAAAAATATCTCATCCTGGATTTTCTAGGTACTGACGGTACCATCATCATTATTGGATGGTACTACTGTCTACAGACTGACACTAGGTGATACCACCGCTCAGTTTAGGTGGTACGACTACTTGACAGAGCTTAGAGACCGAGCTCTAGCGGTACCATCACTTGGTAGCATTAACTGCCGACGGTACCACTGCCCAGTTTGGATGGTACCATCACCCAGACCACTTGGGAGACTAAGTCACCAAGCGGTACCACCGCCGACCATGACTTCAAGTGCTAAATGGGCTGTTCAACCGGCCCAGTTCAACCCTATTAAGGGCCTAATTGGCCCCTAACTGAGTTAGTGAGATTACCTCCAAATGCTAACTCAACTTAAGGTCTAACTATGATAATTAAGACATTTAAATAAGTAATATCTGTTCAGTATGTCGATTGTTCTTTAAGTGATCTTCCGACGAACTTTCGACGAACTCCCAACGAACTCCCGACGAACTCTCAACGAGCTCCCGATGAACTCTCGACGAGCTCCCGATAAACTCTCAACGAGCTTCCGGTAAACTTTCGGCACATCATCCGAATCTTCGATGTATCAACCGATCTTTGACTCCAACCCAACATCTGCTTTATGCCTTACTGCTATCGTTGTTAATCCTGCACACTTATCTCAACATATAGATTAGATCAAACACTTTACCAATTAATTTCATTATCAAAATCCGAGATTCAACATCTTCCTATCACAAAGAAAATATATTCAAGATTTATTATTAATGACAAATATGCAGGATGCAAATGCGGTTACAACTCTCCTCTCTACTAGTGAATCACTCAAATTATCTTATGAAAGTTATGCTATGGAACCCACTCAATACCGACAAGTAGTTGTCTCTTTACAGTACTTAGCTCTCACCCGTCCAGACATCTCATTTACAGTTAATAAATTATCACAGTTTATGCTGCAACCATCTACTATACACTAGTCAATAGTCAAATGAATCCTGCAATATCTTAAAGAGACCCTCTCTCTTTCTCCGTAAACACTCTCCACTTCATCTCCATGCCTTTGCCGATGCTGATTAGGTAAGAAATTTTGATGATAGAGCATCCACTTCAAGGTATATTATCTTCCTTCGAGCTAATCCAATTAGTTGGAGTTCTATAATACCGTGCCAATCTACAACTGAAGCTAAATACCGTGCCATCATCACTGTCATTGCAGATCTCAATTGGATCATAGATCTGCTCAAAGAACTCAGCATCAATTCCGCTCCTATTTCTATAATATATTATGATAATGTCGGAGTTACCTATCTATGTGCCAACCCAGTATTCCACTCTTGCATGAAACATACTACTATCGACTTCCACTTCGTGCAAGATCAAGATGTCCAACATCAACTACGTGGTTCTCGTATATATACGATTGATCAATTAGTAGACTCACTCACGAAGCCTCTCACTCGTAAACTATATGCATTGCATCGGTCCAAGAAAGACATCTTTGACATTAGCACCATCTTGCGGGGGTATGATAGCAGATAAGATTTCCTCAACTATATGAAGAAATCCTCTATTCTGTTGAGGAAATCCTCTATTCTGTTGAGGAAAGTCCCTCTTCCTAATCTGTGTAAATAGAAGAAGGACATGTTAATGTATTCAAGCTAAAATTACTTCAATAAAGCTTCTTAATAAATCTTCTTCGATAAAGGGACGAGGCAGCATGAGTTGCACAAGCAGACAGCACACTACATTGGTGGTCCAAGTTGATCCGCAGCTCAGCTTCCATGGCTTCTGGACCAGTTGTGGTTGGAGATGGTCCAATTCCAACAACCAGAAGATCTTTGTCGGATCACATGTTGGTGCAGCAGAGACTGCCATGATTGATGCGCTCTTCATTCCATGAATCCCGACAGCAAACACCCATTTCCAATTGAAATCGATGATGAATCCAAGTCAAACTCGGTGCTTGAGCATCTGAGTAGAACATGCAGTGTTCTCTGAACAGAGTTCAATCGAAGTTGTTGTCTTGCTTCTCTGTGAATTCTGGGCTGTTGTAAGCCCATAGAGAAATGGGTGATAAGGCCTGTGAAGTCAGAACCTAAGATTATAGACATGCACCATAAAAAATATGATTGAATCGATCGAGACTGCAATATTATAGCAAAAATCTAACTGGAAGTATATGAAAACATGATGAATCAAACAGAACCAGCAGAACCACGTGAGCCAGAAGTAGAAGAAGCACAACATGACTGCAAAATTGATGTTCCATTTTGATAAAAAAAATAAACCCATTTTACATCCGAGCTTTCTATTCATGTATCAGCTGAGCTTTTTATCCTATATGTCATTACAAATGAAAAGCCAACTCTTAATGTTAAGGAACATTCACTGTCTCTCTATAATTACTTCCAAAAGCATAACGGCCGCTACATCATGTAACATGTAGAAGAGGAATGCTGAATCTTCTGTACGTTCATCTACCTCTTATCCCGGTCTTCTGATCGATGAGTGCTTTTGAGTGATCTAGCCGCAAACCAAGGAGGCACAATGAGATTTTAGGATGTTAGCACAGGAACTTGGTGAGAGTAGTTGTTTTAGATGGTGAAGCCATCAGGTTTAGTATCCATCTCTGGTGCATTTGGAGGAATAGCACCGTAGGTCATTTGCATGACGACCTCTTTGTTCCAAGGATTGTGTATCTGTGGAAGGAAAAAAGAAACACCAAAGTTAGGTTGCTATATATATACATATGTGTCGACAGTTACTCATCAGTTAGAACTTGCAATTTGAAGGTGAGAGCAAAAAATCCAAGATCCAATTCTGCTGAAGAATCTTTCTCAGTTTTTACTATATGCAAGGTATCATTATCTTCGGACTTCCTTGATTCTAGTCTACTACCAAATTGATTAGAAAGCTTATTATAATTAGCTACCAAATGTTTCAAATGATGAGTTCTGACAATTGAGCTTCCAAACTAGAACCTTAAATAACTGAAAAAAAAAGTTTTTTTTTTTGCATGAGAAGAGGAATTTTAAAGGCAAAGAATTGACTAATTAAACACATTTCTTATGCAATCTCATATGGAACTAGTACTAATATATAATACGATCCTTGGGTGAATGTGAAAAGTATATTTCAATTATATGGTGATAGAATACGAAAAGACCTTGGGGCTCCCAAAGATTCGAAGGTTTCCGAGTTCATTACTAACGGTACCTGGTGTCTCCCTAATCCTATTTCTCCTGAAATGTTATCACTTTGGCCGACTATCACAGCTATTCCAATCAGGAACAACTCTTCAGATATACTTATTTGGCCTCATGACAATCGTAAATTTAGTGTCGCATCCGCATGGAATTAAATCAGACAAAGAAATAACAAGTAGATCCCAAGCAGTTGGACATGGGATCGACCGAGATCACAAAGACATTCCTTATGTACATGACAGACCCTTCTTAATAAACTACCTATAACAGACAATATGAAGAGAAGAGGTATCTATCATGTTAACCGATGCTCCCTTTGTATGCAACAAGAAGAAACTATTGACCACCTCTATTTTTCTTGTGACTATACTAAATGGATATGGAAGGAAATTCTCCAATGATTCAAACTCAATAGGCTGCCGCAACCAAAATTGCATCAAGAATTAGGCGACCTCATACAATGTTTCTCAAGTAAAGGGCCTCTTACACAATTGGCAAATTTTACTTTCAGATGTGCTATTTGGTAGATGCGGAAGGAGAGATGTAGCAGAATCTTTGAGTGTCAACACACAAACAATGCTCAGCTCTTGACAGAGATTATTAGAGACTCGAGATCATGTATGGAGCACGATCTCAAAATGGAGCACTTTACATGAAGAGAAAAAAATATTTTTGTCAAATTCAATTTTGCTATTAGCTAAAGATCTTGGGCATGATATTAAATGTTGCACCCACAGATAGTCTTGGCATATCTGGACATTACATTTTATTTGTTGGCTACAGTTAGGAGTTATAGTCTACAGCATATGTAGTCATAACTACCGCATGTATACTCTATGAGTTACCTGGCTTCGTCTATGACTTGTATAGACAAAGTTATTTGTAGAAACTTTACACATAATCAATTTACTTTTACTTACCAAAAAAAATTTTAAAAAGATAAAACAAATGAGACAGTTACCGGGGATAAATCTTGAAGCAAGATCGATTCATGGGAATTGAATAAAAGGAAAAGGTTTATAGCCTAGTAAACAACTTTAAGGTCAAAGAAAATGAAATGTTTATGTATAGTCAATCATAAACTACAGAAACAGATAATTCAATTCAAGAAAAGCAGATTCTTGAAAAAAATAGATGACACTAAACAAATTTCCTCTACAATCATTCTTAAATTATTTATTCTGGTTAGATCTCAGAACCTCTTTCCTTCTCCTTCAATTTGTCCCTTTTGGTGTCCTTGATCCAAATACCTACTCTCTTTCACATGTAATAATCAATATAATCTGATTTATCATCCCAAATCAGGTAGAATTAAAGGTCTGATAAGTAGGATTACCTGCAGAGAAGACTCTTTATAAACACTGGTTGTTGATAATTGAGCATTCATGTCTCTCCTAAGTGCCTCTGAAGGGTTAATAATGGCAGAGATTGCAGAATGCATCAAACCCTGCTGAGATGGATATAGAGATACCTGAGGATAAATCATCTCCTGCGGCAATCCAGTTGCAGATGAGCAGCCACCATGAGAATGTAGAAGCTGTTTGTGAAAGGTCAAATAAACCAAGTAGTATCATTCATAAATCTTTTCATTATGAAATCCTTTCAACTTAGCAACAATTGATTAGCTAAAAATGAAAGAAGAAAAGTTTCTCACGTTTTTAGCCAGAAGCCCTTCTGTGCTGAATTCGGGTTGTGGATTGACAGCAGCAAGCTTCATGGAGAGGAACTTAACAAGAAAAAAAACAAGATAAATAATTCAGTGTATTTCATGATTCAAAACAATGGTTAAATTCTAAAGAGACAGGTAATTTGCAATTGCAATTTCCATAGAAGCTTACCTCAACCTGACTTTGGAGTGACTGAACATAGTTTATGATCTCATCCAGCATAACTGCTTTCCCTGTGACCTACAGATTAGAGTCTCACATCATACTCTAGGATTACAGAAGTCAAATTTTCACAATTTACAGACGAAATGCCTCTTGAACTTACTTTGCTGCAACCAGGCACTAATTCCTGAAGATACTTCATCCTTTCACTTATCTTTTCCCTTCTTACCTGAATCCATCAATTTCAAATACAAACATTTTAAGCTTCCTAAAGTATGCCATTAGAATCAATTGGAACCTTACTCTTTCTGCAAGACTGTGACTATTAGTTGCTTGTCCACGCCGTGCTCTAACATGAACACAATCCCCCTTTGCAGCTTCTGAGCTATATTTTCCATTCTTTCCACTGTGCTCGGAGCTGTTCTGGTCTACTTTTTGTTTACCTTCAGTGGTCTCCTTTGTGGTCTCTGAGGATGATTGTGGGCCTCTTTTCACCTCTTCCTTCTCCACATCGTAGCAAAACAGGATTATAATCAAGTGTTGATCAGCACAGGAAACAACAACATCTCAACAAAAAGAGATGAAATTACCTGAGTGGTCCTCCTCTTCTTAGGAGATGAATTCCTAGCTGCATCAGATGAATCAGTGTTCCCTTCCTGACCACCTTTGGTGAAATTGGCTTCACGGGATTCGCAGTCTATTTGATTAGTGATCAGACCTCTGTTGACGGATGCATTGTCAACAGGGAGCAAGACACCATTTTGTACAGTTGTATTCATTTCAGTCTTCCCAAGCTGGATCTCAGTAACATCTTCCATGGCATTAGTATATGGAACCATTGATTCAGATGGACGAAATAGGAGGTTCATGCCACTAAAATTACGACCACTGAAACATGGAAACCTTGCTGCCCGTTCAACTAAGGCCGTTTCAGCGGGGAAATGAGGCAGTCTTGGGGAAGAAATTCCAGGAACAGTCGATGGCAGCATCCCTCCGGAGGACACTGCAACTGGTTCTCCAATCGGCACACAATTAGCGGCATGGTGGTTCCAGAGGCCAGGAGTGAAGGGCTCCATCTCCGAAGCTGAAGGATATGGAGACGAGGTCACCAAATTCATAAGGCCGGCAGCCATGGAGGAGGTTGAGGTGTTGAATTGCCAGTGATCAGAGATGCCAGAACTGTGGTTGCTCAAGTGATTGCCATGGTTCTTCTCCAGCTCAAACTTGTTATTCTCATTCGTATCCATCGGTGTCTTCAAACCTTCAAGAAGGCAACGAGAATGAACTAGTCGAAGCAATGAAGAGTCAGATTAATCCTCCTCCTTCAGATCTGATAACACTTACCCCAATGAACAGATTTCGTTTCCTAGAAAGAGATACAATTAGCAGCACATCAGAAGAAGGGTTGGAGGACTGAAAGCCAAAACAGCATGTAGGAGCTCAGTTTCACCAAGCACACTGATCTCGGAAGCAATTCCTCAAAAGGCAAAAAGAGCAGCAGGGCATCCATGGAAGAAGGCCTTGATTCAGATATCAATGCTAATAAGGATTCACAGGTCTTACACCAAGTTCATGTATTGGCTGCCAAGATTTCCCTATTACCAGAGAAAGCTCAGGAAATGGACAGAGAAGACAAGGAGTGAAACGACAACGCAAACAGAGGATTCCCACCTATCAGCAAACCTGGGAGGAAGAAATATTGCATCGGTGGGGGAGAAAAGGGCAGAACTCAAGGCATCCTAATCAAAGCTCGCACCTTTCGCCTGCTCAAAGCCCCACAGCTAACAGAAACCACCCCCACCCCCAAGCCGATCACACAGTGTACAGTAGGAACAGCAAAGATGCCCATTAAAGTTTCTTCTCACCTTTAATCATTCTGCTCCCGTCGAAGGCAGGTTCTGTCGAAAGCATTGTTGGAAATGTGAAAAGCTTGGATTTTGCTGCTGCTTCCTCCTCCTGCTCAGGGAGAGAGACGAGCACACTCCGCTCCTACAAACCGGAGTGCTGCTTGCTGCGAGAGATTGAATTCCAATCCTACCCTCACACGGCTGGAATATTCCGCAGGAAGTTTTTACAAATCAATCCTTTCGAAGGTTAGAAATAGCAAATCAATTCTTATAATTTTTTAGATAAAATATGTCACCTCCTTATCTATAATATATCAATAAAAAACCTCTGATTAATCATAAATATTTTTTAAATTAAATAAATACATAAAAAATTCTTTGAATCCGAATATGTAGTTTGGAAGGCCCTTTTTCGGCCAATGTATAATTATTATTGTTATTGTTAATAACGAATAGAAAGAAGCAATAACATATACATAAATAGAACTATTGGGCCTCTCAATAACCTCTCCTTTAAGTAGGGGAAAGTTGTCTTCCCTAAGCACCGAATGATTTTTTCCTATTACCTTCTCTCACAAGGTAATCATTCTTAGACACCGGTCCAATTTCAAATCTCCCAAAATAATTACTATGGTATTATCAAAGATATAAAAAGATTTAAAATAATTTTACTATAAACTATAACTAAATATTAAAATATTTTTAACTAAATTAAGAATATTGCTCAATAATACCAAAAGATTCATTAATCAATTATGAATAACTTATGTATGTTAGGATCAAGAATGACACTAAGAGGGGGTGAATTAGCGCAGTAGATAAAAATGATAAATTTTAACGATTTTGAAAAACTTCGTTCAATGAAATTCTAAGTTCGACGAAAACCATTAATTTAACTCGAATAAGTTTGTAAGTGAGTATTGAAAAGGAAATTGGATAGTTTGCAATGAAGTAAAGTAAAATACAATAAAGAGAATAAATAGTAAGGAAAGAATACATCAGAATTTATAGTGGTTCAGTTGTTGTGACCTACATCTACTTCTGATTTCTTCTCTATCGAGGTCACCAACGTCCACTAATGGTCTTCCTTCAATAGGCAAAGACCAACCACCTCTGTACAATACTTTCTCCTTTTCACGGGTTTAGGAGATAACCCTTACAAGCCTTATACCTCTTCTTAGATGATTACACAACTAAAGAAAGAGAGGAGGAGGACTCTTACACTTTTACAACACTTTTACACCCCAACCCTTACAAGCCGAAAATGGTGAGGTATTTATAGGCCCTAATGGCTTCAAAATTGGAGCGAAAAAGTGTCTCATCTTGGGTTTCTGATGTACTGGCGGTACCACCGCTTGACACTCTAACACTGAGTGATACCACCGCCTAGTCTAACAATACCATCTCCTGACAGAGTCTTGGATATTGAGCTCTAGCAGTACCACCGCTTGATAGGGTGACCACCTAGGAGACCATTCCCTAAGCAGTTCCACTGCCCCAGTCTGGCGGTGTCATCGCCAAATAAGGTCCAATTGGGCCTTGAATTAGGCCCAAACCAGTCCAATTAAGGGCCCAATTGGCCCTTAACAGGGTTAATGTGATTATCTCCCAAACCTAACCCTAATTATATGCTAACTATGATTTCTAAGGCATATACTAAACAAAACAAACCCGATAAATCTAGGTTTCTTTCGGCGAGCTTCCGACGATCTTCCAACGGACTTTCGACGATCTCTCGGCAATCTTCCAATGGACTTCCGACAAGCTCCTAGATTTCATGACGATCTTCTTGGCGAGTTCTAGTGAGCTTCTTCTCGGTGAATTCTAACAGTATTTCTAATGAACCTCCAGACTTCTGATGAACTCTCGACTCCTAAGAAAATCTCAATCTTGACTCCGGCACTTCGTTTTGCTTTATACCTTAATCACTATCATAGTTAATCCTGTACACTTTTCTCAACATATAGATTTGATCAAATAATTTACAAATTGATTTCATCATCAAAATCTGTGATTCAACAATCTTCTCATTTTTTTATGATGACAATCAATTGATGATGGAATTAACCTTAACTCCCCCTATCTATATGTTATACTTGAGAAAAGACACTCTTGAATTCATGGCCTTTGAATTCAAGCATCAAACTGGTAAGTTATATGCATTTGAACTTATCGGCATACACATCATGATACCAATCATGATTTACCATCTCAAAATACGATACTACATATTTATCATAATACAAATGATGTTAAGGCATGACATCCATTTTAAGGTCCAATATAGAATGCTGATAGACAATCATCATTTTCAAGTATGATATGAATTTTAAATATGAAATTTAGCAAGATTCAAATTTCAAAGATGACAATTCATCAATTCGAGGCATGATATCAATTGTAAGTAGGAAATTAAGCTCATGATTGACACCGGAAGGGTAAAATGCAGAATGTATTTCGAAAGAAAACCGATGCAACAGTTTCTCAGATAAAAAATGTCACAGTAGATAAAGACGAACTCTTGAAGAAAAATTGCAGTACAGTTGTATTTGTTGGAATGAGTGTTTTGAATAGAAAAGACACGAACTCATAATAAAACTTAAAGAAGATCGAAAAATAGTTCACCACCAAGTTAAAATTATTAGGATCAAGAGCACTAAAAGGGGGGGGGGGTGAATTAGTGCAGTGAAAAAACTGTCGACGATTAAAATTGCATTCATACGATGAAATTGTTTTCGACGTAAAACCGTTTTCGGAAACTTAACTTGAAAGCGAGTTCGTAAGGGAGTGCAGCAAAAGTAATAAGGAAGTAAAGCACATATGAACGTTTGCAGTAAGGTAAGTAGCAAGAAGAAATACAAACTAGAGAGCACCGTAATTTTAGAGTGGTTCGATCAATCTTGACCTACATCCACTTTTGGCTTCCTCCTCCGACGAGGTCACCGACGTCCACTGGAGGCCTTCCTTCAATAGGCAAAGGCCAATCACCCTTTTACAGTTTCACTCTTTTTGACGGGCTTAGGAGACAACAATTACATAATTTCCTCTCTTCTCTTGAAAGATCAAAACTTGGAAGAAAAGAGGGAGGAGAACTTCTAGCTTATACAACACTTTTGAGCTCTAAAAATCATAGAGTAAGATTGAATTTTCGGTGCTCTTTCATGCAGGAAAGGGTGGGGTATATATAGGCCCCAAACTAGTTTGAATTTAGAGCTCAAAAATGTCATCTCCCGGATTTCCGGGGTCCTGGTGGTACTATCTCCAGACTGGGCGGTACGACCCCTTGACAAAGCTCGGAGACCAAGCTCTAGCAGTGCCACCGCATGACTAGGGCGGTTCCACCGCCCAACTTTCTTGGGAGACTGAGCTCCTGGGCGGTGCCACCGCCGACCCAAGCGGTGCCATCGCCGGCCAGGAAATCTGGGTCCGAATGGGCTAATCCATTCGGCCCAATTTGGGTCTGTCAAGAGCCCAATTGCCCCCAGATTAAGTTAATGAGATCACCTCTCATTCCTAACTTAATCTATATGCTAACTACGATATTTCTTAAGACATTTACTGTAACTTGCTCTAGTGCGCCAATCGCTTCTTCCGGTGAGCTTCCGGTGAACTTCCGGCGAACATCCAACGAACCCTCGGCGATGCTCCGGTAGACTTCCGACAAATCTCCTGGACTTGCAATGATCCACTTGGCGAGTTCCGACAAGCTTCTTTGGCAAACTCCTGGACTTCTCGGATTTGTTCCTATCGAACCTCCAACGACCGTCCGAACTTCCGTCGAACTCTCGAACCCCCAACGTGATCATGGTCTTGATTCTGGCGCAACTCCTGCTGCATGTCTTACTACCATCATAGTTAATCCTGCACACTTATCTCAACATATGTATTAGATAACAAATGACAATTGACTTCATCAACAAAATCTGAGATTCAACAATCTCCCCTCTTTGATGATGACAATCAATTGATAACAGAGTTAACCTTAACTCCCCCTATCTATATGTCATACTTGAGATAAGTCATTCTTGAATTCAAAGCCTTTGAATTCAAGAGATATATTGATAAGTTAAGATCATTTAACCTTATCAATACTCCCATCATGATTCCTATCATGATGTATTTATCTGAAAATGATGTCAAGGCTTGACATCCATTTTCAGGTTTTACTTTTCAAATATGAAAGATAGCAATTTTAGCAATTCATCATACGACAAGATATCAATATGTAAAATTACGATGTAAGTTCTTGATATCTTAACATAATGCAAATATTTCAAGCATTTAGCAATCATAGCATTTCATCACTTGACAAGATATCAATTTGTAGAATTACGATGTAAGTTCTAGATATTATAACA